CGATCGCTCACCCTCAGGGAATGGAGAGGAGTATGAGCCACGGAGAGGGGATGACCCCCACACCGAGGATTTTGTGTGAAGGGGGGAATGACAGCCAGGCTAAGAATGTTACAAACCCTGATGGTATCGTTGGAAATGCCCCCATTGACAAGAAAATGAAAGTTAGTGAAGTAACCTCAGAGAATGGGAGCCACGATAAGACAACTACAATGAAAGCTGGTTATGTAGGAGAAAGCAATGAGGTGATAATTGCGAATAAAGACTATGGAAAGAGGGAAGGTGGGAGGAGAATGAGGAGGGGGAGTAACAGGAAGGAGGATAAAACGTGCAAGCTCCCCCAACCCACGACCACATGAGGAGAAAAAGGATGAGAATGTTGGTACAAAGGAAAGCAAGAAAACAACGATCAGTAACACGGAAACTAGGATCAAAGTGCAGATGGATTGGCTGGGGCCCGTGACGAGGTCCATGAGCCAGGCGCAAAGAACGCCACAGCCATAAATAGCCTCTCCCATCGACTGGAAACCACCCTGACGATGCCGGCAATTGCCGGCGAAAGCTTGGTATTTTAAATAGTTTTTTTATAGTTTTATAATTTCCTGGTGTTCTTGCATTTATTGCTAGCTAAACATATATACATACATACATACATACATACATATATATATATATATATATGAAAATTAGTGAATGCAGAATGCAGAATTAAAATCTGAATCTTCCTAATTATAGTCTGAGAATTAAAAAGCTAGATTGCACTGTGCAGCTGTTCCATCACAATTCCATTTATTATTTATCCTGATGTTATTATTCTTATAAACTCAAGGCAGCAAACATACCTAAAGCTTATTCTTCCTATTTTCCCCAGAGCGCCTGACCCAAAGTCATCCAGCCAACTTTCATGGTGAGTCTAGAACTCAGTCTCCTGGTTTCTAGGCCAGCACCATAACCACTACACCAAACTGGCTATTAATCTTGATTTAATGACTTACCTGTGAAGAAAATTATATGTTGATGTAAAGTAAAATATAAGTTTCACATTATTCCTGGCTTTTTGTGTTATTGTTTCATTACTTTTAATTGACAAGGCTAACAAACCCCATAACCATACAATTTTCCAGTTATGGATGTACTTAAAGCCCCACCCCCAATTTTGGTTTATAACATCCTCTATTTTTTCAGCATGAAGCAGAAAATAAATGTAGAGTCCATTAATGTATTTTGAAGTTGAGCTTCATAGGATATGCCCATTCATATATGAATGAATCTCTCTGTCTCGTTTCCATTCAGGATTTTGAATATTCAGATGGCAGCTACAAAACATAACAACAGCTGTCCAGCTGTATCCTAAGACAGTTCTTGCTGAGGTTTTTGTTTGATTTTAAGCTTTATAAAAAGAATTGTAAAAATAAGACGAGAAGGAAGTTTTGGTTTTCAAACCACATATTTTTAAATGTTAATAGCCAAAGTATGCATCAACTTACCAAAAGAATCATGTGACATTCATTCTGAGATAAATTGTGTAGAAAGAAAATGGAAAAAGCCTGTTCATCATCTATTACACCGAGTGCTCATAAAATGGTCACTTTCTACTGGAAACCACAGGAATAGTCTTAATAGTGAGTACAGATCCTAATCATGAAAAACTGGGAAGGTTGGAAAGGAAAAACATAAGCAGGGAGTTCATAATCCTGCTTTACAATCTATGCTGCAAGAGGAAGGGGCAAATCTCATTATGGATCAAGAATGGGAATCAAGTGGTCTGGGATTATTCCCATCTCTGAGCTATGCATATGAGTATCTGCTAGGCCAGTAATGGCGAACCTTTTAGAGACCGAGTACCCAAAAACTGGCCCCGCCCCGCTCCACTTCCCTGCTCCACCCCTGCTCTGCCCCTCATCCCCCACCCTGCCTGCTCACAGGACCACTCACCGCCTCCAGGGCCCGCCACAGATCGCCCAGGTAGCCCAGCAGCGCTATGATGGCCACACCTTTTGCCCGCGTCCTGCAGCATCAACTACATGATGGGGTGTGAGGCATTATCTACACCGCCTGGCTGCCATGTCCTTGGCTGCGCTGCTCCATGTGGCCACGTTCGAGGGCAACTCTTCTTCAGGGGGGCTGCTGGAGAGGAGGGGGTCACAGGTGGAGGCAAGGCTGGGGCAACAGCACGTGTGCCCACAGAGAGGGCTCTGAGTGCTACCTCTGGCACCCGTGCCATAGGTTCGCCACCACTATCCTGGCATATCAGATATTTGGATGAGTTAGTGGCAAGTACCACAAACAAAAATGAGAGGAGAAAAAAACTGCAAACTTTTAGCAAGTCAACCTTACTGAATCTTCCAATTTTAATAACATGGGAATGAATTTGTTTTTAACTAAAAGAGCATAGATACCTTGTACTCATGGCACAACCCTGCTCCTAAAATTAGCAAAATATATCACTATGTCTTAGTACACACTTGTTTGTAGTAACTTCTATAAATATTGTTGCCACATCCATGGAGAGAAGTGTTGTCAATTTATCACTGTTGGCCAGAATTATTTTTGCAGCTGTGGAGCATGTTAATTGTGGACACTAAAAGATAGGAATGCAGAGTAAACATTCTTTATACCGTTAATGCATGTCATTATTTTAGCAGCCGTATGTTACCTTATTTACTGTCACACTAAGGTCATACTCATTACTTTTAAAGGTAGGGAAGCAAGTCAGTGAAGCATTCCTAGTGAGCAAATTCATTGGGTTAAAATAGTCTGATGGGGACCATTGACACCTTCAGCATTATATGAAATGATTTGTAAAAGAAACATCTTTAAATTCTTAATATATTTATTTGCAGATGGAGTATATTATCAGCTGATCAATGTAGATACAGATAGATTATGGCTGGACATTTTATTGAGGAGAAAGCAATTTTCAGTGTGAGAAATATTTGCCAGATGAGATATAAAACTCAGTCATTGGAAAGAGAATACAAAAATCTAAATTCACATTCAGAATTAAAAAAACCCTACAAAACTGAATCATAGTGAAATCTTTCTCACACCAGAACTGTATCATTTAGAATTACAATATAGACAGTATGACAAATGTCTCTTACTCCTCTCTTCATTGGAAACATTAGTGAAATGTACTATCTTTCACTTTCACTATATGCCCCCTTTTAAGTTTCTATATTTACTGTATAAAACAAATATTAGTATATGGAAATAGTGACTGATTTTGAATATATCATTGGCCAGTCTTCATAGACTCCATAAGCTCATAAGTAATAACAATCTTTTCCTTATAGAGTAGCTTCCTATGTTACATAGCAAATTTCTTTTGCTATGAAGGGAAATTTGAAAAAGACTTCCTGAATGAACCTCTTTAAAATGCATCAAATATTCCATTGGGGATATTTCAAAAGGGGAAAAAAAGCTCTTTAGATTCTGGCCATTGATAAGTTGTTGATATTCCTCAAGTGGCTGTAATGCTGAAAGTTGCAGTTTGGCATCTTTTGTATTTCAAAACAATTTTGAGAACACTTACTGTATATTTTGAGGAAAAAAGTCTACAAACTTTTAAGTCAGGCAACTTAAGCACTGAAGCATATTTATTTTCCATGGGAGAAGAAACCATTTTATTTATTGGGGAAATACAAACAGCCAAACATGAACACGTGGATTCTGCAAGATCAAATATAATTTCTGCTTGAGATTCTATCTATCATTCTATAAGATTTATTGGCTGTTGTATTCCAGTGTATAATGGATGAACTGGACAAATCATGTAGTCCTTAATGGTACTACAACTACATGGAAGGAAGTAAGCAGTGGGGTACCACAAGGTTCTGTCTTAGGACCAGTATTCTTCAATATCTTCTTAAATGACTTAGATGAGGGAATAGAAGGGGAACTCATCAAATTTGCAGATGACACTAAGCTGGAAGGAAAAGCCACATCCCAGAAGACAAACTCAGGATCCAAAAAGATCTTGATGGACTTGAACAATGGGCCCTATCCAACAAAATGATATTTAATGTGGAGAAAAGCAAGGTTTTAAACTGGGGTAGGAAAAACCAAAGGTATAAGTATAGATTAGGCAAAACCTGGCTCAAAACAGTAAATGTGAGAGGGACTTTGGAGTCCTACTGGACAATCATTTAAACATGAGCCAGCAATGTGCAGTGGCAGCACTCTCCTTGGTTGTATAAACAGAGGCATAGAATCATTTGAAGTACCGCTTTATAAAGTTTTAGTAAGGCCACACCTGGAATACTGCATCCAGTTTTGGTCACCACAGTATAAAAAAGATGTTGAGACTTTGGGAAAAAGGGAAAAGAAGAGTGATTAAGATGATTAAAGGCCTGGAGACTAAAACATATGAAGAACAGTTGTAGGATTTGGGATGGCCAGTCTAGAGAAAAGGATAAGGAGGAACATGATAGCAGTATTCCAGTATTTGAGAGGCTGCCACAAGGAGGAAGGGTCAATTTATTTTCCAAAGCACCTGAAGGCAAGACAAGAAACAATGGATGGAAACTAATCAAGGAGAGAAGCAACCTGGAATTAAGAAGAAACTTCCTAACAGTGAGGACAATTAACCAGTGGAACAGCTTGCCTTCAGACATTGTGGGTGTTTCATCACTAGAGATTTTAAAGAAGAGGTTGGACAGCCACTTGTCTGAAATGTATAGGGTCTCCTGCTTGAGCAGGGGGCTGGAGTAGAAGACCTCCAAGGTCCCTCCAGCTCTATACTGATTCTGATCTAGAGAGCACTGATTTGGGAAAGATTAAGGTAGAGTATTTCCTTTTCTTGCTAGTGTTAAGCATTGCCTTTAATTTGATGTCTAGATTATTATAACCGGGTAATTATTGTATGATATCTACTGAAACGTGCTTCTGTATTCTGCATTTCATGGAATGGCTGGGTGCTTTCAAAACATTTGTGGATATGGATAACCATCCCAAACACATTCTTCAATATGAATCCCAATTTAAAACATAACATACTTAAATGTTCTACACAGCATTTATTGTCATTGTGGTTAGTGTAAACTACATAAATCACAAAACAGTTCTTTCTGCATGGCAATTTTCTGCCTGAAATGTATTAACAATGCTGTATTTTAGTATAAAGTTAGGGATATTTGGAGAGTTGGCTCTCATTGTTTTTAAGTACAGTAAGATACAAATCTTTATAATATAAATTACTTGCTGTTACAAAAAAGGGGCATCTGGGTTAACTAGATAAGTACAAAAATCTATTAACCTCTATAAATAATGAAATGCAAGAAGCTCAATAATACAACACATACATTGGGTTACAGTATTTGAATATGTAATTGCAGACATGTGGCAGAGGCACATTATACAGGACAGGCAAAAACACTGAACACATTAAAAGTTTAAAAATGTAAGCACTTTGGGGGAATATGAGCACATGATATAAACATCAAGCAACACTCTGAGCAGACAAAAGGAGTCACTGACCGTTGTAAAGCATTCGAACCTGGCAGAAACCTGTCCAAACAGCTGCAGTGGGATACTGATTGATCGTGTTTTCATTCTTACTGCTCAAGTGCTGCAGACAGTCATCAGTCTGAGAAAAAGCCCAACACGGGCACCGGCACCCTCACAAGCGCACCCAGAAAGTAATTTAACAGATGCCTGGAAGAGTGCAGCACCACAATTTCCTCAATTAAAGCAGGAATATTCAGTACTGGTGAATTTTTCTCAGCAGTGTGAGCTAGAATATGGAAGGGGAAATTTATGTCATTTATAATGGAGTCCCAGATCAGGTGGGGAAGGGAATAGAGCAGAGTAAAAACCGCTTACTGATTAATATACATTCAAGAACACTTTAAGTAGGTCATGCTTTTTTATATATATTTTTAGGAAATGTGAGCTGTTTAAGAATACAAAAATGTTACAATATTAATTGCTACTCCAAAATGGAATCCAATAGACATTAAAAATAAAAGGGATGATCTGAAGTCACATAGCAGATTTGAAGTATCTTTTTTTATCAAGTAGAACAGAAGTCAAACTTTTTTGATGAAAATTCTTAAGAGAAATATTTTTGTAAAATGTATTTTCATAAAAGTTCTGCAGCTGGGCTGTATATATGTTAATCATAAGAAAACTCCACAGAATACATTGCTCACTCTTAATTATAGTTAGGAATAGAATCCTAGTCTATAAATGATATTACAAAGGATCTAGATACTTTTTTTGCTCCTAATTAACTTTCTTTTATCAGTTTTTAACTAGATCAGGGGTAAATTCATGACTAGAGGTGGCAAAGTTGTTTGACTCTCATCTGCTAGTCATAGCATTCTTTTAAAGACACAAAGAGGGTCCAATTACTGTTACAGAGTTAGATCCATTGTTTCCTCTTAAATGATTTTAATCATATTTATATAAAAGGAATTTTTTTGTCAATGTAAATGAAGAATGATTTGAGTCAATGAAAATTATCACATTCATATATAATCTTAGTCTTTAGTGATGGATCTAAAGAGTTATAAAATATGAACTAAAAGGACCTATTTATTTAATTGGTATACTGCCACATGCCTTCCAAACAAGTATTGTTCTGTATAATTCAAAATGCCTATCACTATAGAAATGGCATTGCAGGATGGAAAAAGTGGTGATGTCAAAAAATCAATTAGCATTACAATTCTTAGTTTTTGGTCTACTTTAATTTCTACATAATCTCACCACTACTAATATATACATATAATTATATACATGTGGCATCAGGAATAATCAAAAGTAAAACTGGCTGTTTCCCCTATATCTAATGATTGGGGGGAGGGTATAAATGTTTTTAACAAGCAAATTTATAGAAGAAATCACATGCTAGAACTTTTACTTCTCAATCCTGTACAGGTGTAAATCATGTAACTATGGCATTATTTGCAAGTGATTTCTTTCTTCAATTGTCTTTTAAAATTAAAGAAAAATCAAGCCAAAAATGAGGAAACAAAACCAAATCTTGCAGTATCTCAAGACCTGTTCCACTCTAGTTTTGATCAAGGATTCTAATATCTAATATACAAATTCAACTAAGAGCAATTCAGTGCTGTATTATGAACAAGGCAGTTTTAAATTTTGAAGCATTCTTCCAAAATAAGCAAAACTGGAAGATTGATACATTCTTGGAGTGTTGTCATGTATAAAAACAACAACAAAATTTTCTATTCTCAGGAAGAAAAGCTTTTTTCTACAATATTTAGTCTGGAATGAAATTTAAAAGAAATCTAAGCCCCTGAAAATAGGGGTATTTAAAAAATATAGACAGTAGACTTTTGAATATAATTCAGAGACACTGAATTTTTTTAATAATTCCAAAGGCTAGGAACTCTAGCATAACACTAGTCATGAAGAATAATACATCCAGTGATTATTTAATCTTGTTTATTGTTCTTGTTTTTAACTACAAGGTAGCCTCCATTTCATCATTTTACACAATTATTAACTTAATTTTATTTTACAAAGGCAATTTGCACTTGAGGCTTCCAAATACTAACAAAATACTGATATTTTCATTGTTCGATGAATGATGTTTTTGCCATACATCCTACTAAATTAATGGGGTTTTTTTAAAAAAAAATCAATTTGTAATTGTTAAAAAGTGGAGGTGGAATATATTCTTTGAAAAGTTTGGTGTTCTTTGCATCAAAATGAATTCCTTGGTTTCAAAATGTAATCTGGTTCTCAACGACTACGTTTTCAAAAAACTTTGGGTTTCCATTTACAGCTAGATTTAAACTTTGGCTGCGCAACAAAATTCTGCATTATGGCTATTACAGTTCAGGAACTCTCATACAGTGAACTGATTTGTTGGTAAATAAGAATTCATGATTCAGTAGTACAGGCGCCATTAATGAAAATAATCATAAATCTGATTCACAGAATTTATAAACAGACTTTCTGGGATTAATGCAAAAATATATTTATTACAAGCTCTTACACATCCTTCTGTATACCAAACCATAATTCATTGAAAGAGAGACAAACAGGTACATTGTTATCCGAGAGCCGTTCTTGTTTTCTTCACATACTTGAAGGCTCAAGATCTCTGTCTTCTAGTAAATTTATCAGGAAGCCAAAGCTGTCTTTTACTGACTCCATGTCATCCAAGGAACAGGGTTTAAGTATCCAACGTTTCCCTCGTGCAAGTGGTTCAAGTTCCAAATACTTTTTGATCTATTTAAGAAAGAGAAAAAGAAGCATTTTTTAAAAAATTAGTTCTATTTATTTGCTGGCTTACCATTTATTCTTTTCAAAACAGAAATGGCTGGATGCTCATTTTGGGAGTTATTTCCTGCTGTTTTTGACACAAAATTGATGTTGTGCACTGCATATGTTTATGTTATGGATAACTAGTTTGTCTAAATGCTACTTTTCCCTTATACAATACATTATACAATAAGTTTCTAAATTAGAGACACTAGAGATACTTTGGATGAATAAGTATGTTCAAATTCCCCAAGAGAAGATAATATAAAGATATATTTACAAACCCAAACTAATTTTAATGAAATAGACAAACATCAAATTCCATTTAAAGTTATATGACAGGAAATATTCAGAATGATTATTAGTAAGTAAGATAATTTTGTAATTTATTCTTTGTAATTTGTTGCATGTCAATATCCCTCAGACAGCAGATTGAAAGCTATTTAATTCACTGGATTCCATACAACCTAAAAGTTACAAATCAAGTATAAACAGCTATCAAAACCAATTCAATGTGTGCTTTTGAAAGCATATATACAGTATACAATGGCAAAGATTACTCTGCATTTAACTGAATTGACTGGCGAACGTTTATGGAAATTGTGGATCTGAATTTAACCTTGAGAGCACCAGACTAAGAAAGGCGTCATAACATAAGAATCACTGAGATTTCAGGATAGGTGATAGTATGACAAAAACTGATTTTTTTCCAAATTCTACACCCAAATATGAAATATGAAAAGTAAATAAAGAGACCAAGAATTTTGCAGCCCAATACAAAGTATAAAATAGTCTTCTTCCATTCCACTCACAGATTATAGAAGCTTTCTTCAAATTAAGCTTGAATGGGATTGAGATGAGCAGCTATAGAAATTGAATAAATAGATAGATAGATAGATAGATAGATAGATAGATAGATAGATAGATAGATAGATAGATAGAAAAAGTAAATAAATGGAAACCACACAAAATACAGAAGCTGATTTAGAATATTAATCAACAGCTATCTATTCTACAAAACACATTGAATTAAAAAGATAAAATTTGCATTTCTGCAACATAAAACTTAGGCAAACATTAAGGTTTCCTATTACGTAGGATTATACATCACTGTAAATATGAATTCCATTAACCAGCTAAGTATTTGTAGTTGCTAAGATAAGAGAAAATCAATACCTCTAACCACTTAAATGGAATTAAAAATAAAATCCAACTGACAAAAGTATGGCCAAGTATGGGTTTAAAACTAAGATTGGAAATATAATAACAAGAGAAATGGGTGCACTTGTTAGGTTTAGATGGCTATTTTCTTATCAAACTCAACTTATTTTTGACCCAAAGATGCTATTACTTTTTCAGTTTTCTCAGCTGCAATACAGAAGGGGGACAGTCTAAAAGGAAATGCAGAGAATGGAAGGCAAAAGGAACATAGTCAAAGGTTGCCAAAGTTTTAGAAGCAATTAATATGGCCTTGAAATATAGTTGCTAAAGTACAAGGTATGTCCAATGAAAGTTTATTCAAAGAGCAACACTTTAGTCTAAGTACATAAATGCAACCCTGTGTCTAAGAAAATTTATTTAAAATTATTTTGTTCCTTTTATTCATACAATGCAGAAGACAGAATGTGGTTCTATTATTATCTTATCAAGTGCTTATATTGCTATGTTGCAATATCATAGAAAATTCCAATTTTATTAAATAGTACTCAAATTATAATAGGTATTAGAAAGGTATACCCCCTGTGACTTGATATATAATTAGCTCCTTAATTTATTTCTTTTCTTGCATTCTAACTAGTATATATTAAAATATAACTGCCATTAAAAATGGCACCAATACAGAACAACAAAGTTTGCTAAGAAATATTCTGATCACTGAATGAAGTTAATGAGTTTTAATTCCCAAACTCACATATCAGAGACAACCAATTACCCTGTCTGAAACACAGACTTGTAAAACTATCAAGTAATTGTAAAATGGTCTGCTACACACGAGTAAGATGTTGTTTAAATGGCTTGTTTGACTAGATGCATTCACCATGAAATTGATTCTGTTAAAACAGTATTTTAAAACCACGTTTACGTTAACTCAATGGACAGAAAATGAGAAAAAAATCTGGCATTATAAAGGGTGGGTTAGGTATGAGTCCAATTTTATGAGGTCGAGGGTTACTTGAATGAGAAACTCATCAACTGTGGTCATGCCCCATACAGGAACTAAGGAGGCTGCATACAATTAAGTTATGCTGCTATTTCTATCTCAAGGACAATAAGGTCCTTACTAAACCATCACAAAAGCATGCATTTAAATTATATGGCAAGAGGAACTTACACAAATCCCTTATCTTACCATATATATGTGGAAGCACTAGGTAAAAATACTTATATTTCATTCTTCAAGTAAAAGCACTACTGGTAACTGTAGTTGTATATGATTGGATAATAGTAACAATAACAATAAAAATAATAATAGAGTTGGAAGGGACTTTTGAGGTCTCTAGTCCAACCCCCTGCTCAGGCAGAAACTCTATACCATTTCGGACAAATGATTGTCCAGTCTCTTCTTAAAAATTTCCAGTGTTGGAGCATTCACCGCTTCTGGAGGCAGATTGTTCCACTGGTTAATTGTTCTAACTGTCAGGAAATTTCTCCTTAGTTCTAGGTTGCTTCTCTCCTTTATTAGTTTCCATCCATTGCTTCTTATGTTGCCTTCAGGCGCTCTGAAAAATAGCTTGACTCCCTCTTCTTTGTGGCAGCCTCTGAAATATTGGAACACTGCTATCATGTCCCCCCTCGTCCTTCTCTTCATTAAATTAGACATACCCAATTCCAGCAGCCGTTCCTTATATGCTTTAGCCTCCAGTCCCCTAATCATCTTTGTTGCTCTTCTCTGTACTCTTTCTAGAGTCTCAACATCTTTTTTACATTGTGGTGACCAAAACTGGATGCAGTATTCCAAGTATGGCCTTACCAAGGCACTGTAAAGTGGTATTAACACTTCATGTGATCTTGATTCTATCCCTTGTTAATGCAGCCTAGCACTGTGTTGGCTTTTTTGGCAGCTGCAGCACACTGCTGGCTCATATTTAAGTGATTGTTCACTAGGACTCTGAGATCCCTCTCACAGTTACTACTATTGAGCAAGGTACCACCTATACTATATCTGTGCATTTGGTTTTTCTTACCTAAATGTAGAACCTTACTTTTTTCTCCATTGAATTTCATTTTGTTAGATAGCGTCCAATGTTCAAGTCTGTTAAGATCCTTCTGTGTCTTAAGCCTATCTTCTAGAGCAGGGGTGTCAAACTGCCGGCCCGCGGGCCAGATGTATCATAGCGAAACTGCGCCCACCCCATTGCTGGCAATGGCAAAAAAGTCACAATACTTTGTGACATGTCACGTGGCATTGTGAGTTTGACACCCATGTTCTAGAATGTTGGCTATTCCTGCCAGCTTGGTATTATCTGCAAATTTGATAAGTTCCCAATCTATCCCCTCATCCATATCATTGATAAAGATGTTGAAGTGTGTAGTTCTAGGGCACCCCACTACACACTTCCCTCCATGTAGATGCAGTTCCATTGAGGACTACTCGCTGGTCAGCAAGTTATGAATCCATCTGGTGGTGATGCTGTCTAACCCACATTTTTCTATCTTATCAAGTAGGTTGTGGTCTACCTTATCAAATCCCTTACTGAAGTTCAAGTAAATTATATCCACAGCATTCCTCTGATCCACTAATTTTGTCACCTGGTTAAAGAATGCAATAAAAATTTGTCTGGCCTGATCTGCTTTTGACAAACCCATGATGGCTTTTGGTTATGACATCTGCCAGTTGCTTGAGAACCTTGGGGTGTAATCCATCTGGTCCAGGTGATTTGAACTCATCTAGGGTGGACAGGTGCTCTCTTACCATTTTATTGCCTACTTTAACTTGTGTTTCTAATCTGTTTTTAACGGTACTGTTTTTGATAAGTTGGACTGTTTTTTCTATTTCTGTAAAGATGATGCAAAAAACAGATTTTTTTGTTTAAACTCCTGATTGTAGCTAATGCAGCATTTGAAAAAAAAAAACCTTTATTGCAAAGGGAGTATATACCTTTAGTATATACACTGAAGAACATAAGAGCTCTTTCAAATTAAAATGTCTAGTCTACTACTCTATTCTTATAGTAGTTAATAAGATGCCAATGAGAACCCCAAAGAGGTTAAAAGATCACACCAGCATCATCCTGATCATGTTTCCCAGCAACTGGTATTACAAAACATAACTTACTTCTTTCATAACTAGACACTGATTGCCTTTGCATTAATGACAGTACTTGTTACATAGACAACCCAAGTTTACCACTCAACACATTCAGCATAAATCTGTTGCGAGTTTCACCATAGTATATTTACATGTATTTGCATGTACACCTGTATTCACATGTATCATTTTAGAAAGCAGTCCTCTACTTGTATCTACCATTCTTCCCACCCTTATCCTGGAGGTGCTTCAATGGTATCTTTAAGTATTATTGCATCTAAAACATATTTTAAAATAAAAACATAAGAATGTTCACAAACACAAGTTGTTCTTCCTCTCTGCTAATGCTACAGATATCATCGAATACTGAATGCTATGAAACAAACTTTGAACTACTTTATCACAATTGATGTCTTATTTGAACTTGGGGGAATTATACTTTCTTTCTTAAAAAAGTCTAAAAGAAAATAATAATCTACATAACTAGAAAAACATTATGTACAACTGCCACTGATTTAGGGCACATCCATGTATAAAATACTTATGGTATTATAGTGATCTTATTATCTTAAAATGATTATCATTCTAGAATTAGATTGGATCCAGACTTATAATGCAACCATTTAAATTAATAAGGCTTAAATAATAAATAATTTGGCCAATTGACTGGATCAGGTACATACATTATATTCATCCCATTACATTTATTTATCTACTT